ACCTGAGCGAGTGGTAAAATGTACAACTTTGGTGGTAGGCAAAAATCCCAATTTTTCTTTTTTCACCTTGTTCGGTCTGTAACTTGGTCATTTATTGTTCAATTATATAATCCTTTTAAGAGTTGTCCTGTACGGAGTGTAAGTAATATCCAGTAAAAAAATCAGCCAAAAAACTTTTAAAATAGCCGAACTATCGGTATTACAGTGACAGACTTCTCCAAATTTTAAAAATTTTCGAAAAAGAAAAATATTTTTTTTCTCGATGAGGGAATATTTTTAGAAAATTTTGAAGGTGTGCAATCTTATTCTTTTTGTCTATTTAACCATAATATAAAATAAAATCGATGTTCGGAGCAAAAACGTTTTTGGTGTATCTCCCCTTAAGTGTCAGTATTATTAGTTTCTCCAGAGGGAGCCGAGAGGGAGGTGAGTCTAGCCACTTGCAGGGGAGCAAGCTTCGTATCCTAGAATCATCTAGAGTATAACAGTGCAAGCGTAAACAGTACTTTGAAATTGCATTTTCAAAAAATTTCTGATAATTCTTTGATTTATTTGAAACGCAAGGATATATTTTTCAAGCAGTTTATATATAGTCCACCACCATCCCTTCACAGCTGCCTTCCAACTTGTTAATTCGATTGAGGGCCAAGTTTCTGGCACATCAGTATACTGTTTGATACGTCACCTAATAAGTGACTTCGGCATTGTGTTGATGTTTTGCGTGCGATCTGTGAATCTGGAGCTTGCTTTAGACATGTCGCTTGTAAGCAAACGATATTAATTGTTAATGCTACAACGTCACGGTGAAATGTAACAACTGTGAAACCGAATGGTGAGTTGTAATACATTGCGGGAGCAAGCAAATTGAAAATGCACTTATAAAGTACTGTTGGTGTTTACACTAGCACTGTAGTCTTAGATGATTCTAGGATGCCAAGCTTACTTCACCTAGAACATATGAGTTCCCTGTATGTGGCTGGACTTCCCTCCCACTTGCACTGTTCAAGATGATTTCATGAGCACATCCTGGGAATTAAAAGGTAATTATGGTAAAGGATAATGACAGCTGTAGCGACAATATTAAATTGATTCGTGAAAATCGGTCTCGGATGTGAAGCTTCCTTAAGCCAAACCCTAATAATACTGTACCACTCGAACTTCGAGAATTTTCTAAATGAATCTAGACTAAAGGAACCAACTTGAATCCATACAATTTTGAATGCTAAAGTTTAAAATACCGCTTTATATTATCACCATTCACCAGACACTATGGCTGGAGAGGGATTGTTTGTCCCAGTTTTGGTCGTCACCATGACAACTGAACTTGTTTTTACAGAATCGCGGATTTATATAGTAAATTTGGTCAAATCGGGCGACCAATTTTAACTAGCTAGATTTGGCGCCAAATTTAAAATATGGTCGTTCAGTCGCCATCGACCAAAAAAAACTAGCGCGGCACTTGCTAGATAGTTAAAATATGGTCGTTTAGTCGCCATACGACCATAAAAAACTAGCGCGGCACAAAACTATTTATTTGCTAATTGGAAATTATTTGCGTGTGAACGACCAATTATTGGTCGTATGGTACTAATAAAAACAAAAGTTTGATACATCAAACTGGGCAATCTTGTGTGATTGGTCGGCTTGGAGATGGCTAGATAGTTAAGGATCTTGACCTGGGCACAAATTATACAAATAAATATTATAAAACCTAGCAAAAAGAAATTCAAACAATCCTACACTACTACAAATGTTTATTACATACTACAGTGTAATACACGATAAATAAATGCTGTATAATCAAGAAACAGGGCTTGCAGGGCAAGGGACGGAACACAGGAACTGGTTACAGAGTGTATAAAACAGTGATTCAGCAAGTACCCATTGGGTATTGCTGAATCTGACCCACAAAATACCACAATCAATACAAGAATATACAATATAACAAACATCATGTTTATACAAGAATCAGGGCATGCAGAGCAAGAGAAGAAAAATAAGAGAAAAACTCCAACACATGTATACCCCTTAGTCCAGTAAATAACAATAATTACTTGTACACAAAACTGTATAACATAAAATACATAACAAATACACAGTCTACCCAATATACGAGTTAAAAATTGTATAAACAAGAGACAGGGCTTGCATAGCAAAGGAAAAAGTTATAAGAGGACCATGTAAAAAGTGTTTATTACAGTATCCAGTGAAGAATAAACTAACGTAAGACCATTGATAATACTGAAAATGACTTGAATCTAGAAATTGATGGGATCCCGATCAAACAGGTGACTGAAACGAAATTTCTAGGTGTAATTATTGATGACAAACTGAGTTGGACACCTCATATCGAGAAACTAACTAAGAAATTAAACAGCATATGTGGCCGTATTTATCGAATAAAAAACTCCCTCCCCAGCCAGCTGTACAAACAGATATACCACACTCTTTTTGAATCTCATCTAGGATACGGTATAACTGTATGGGGTGGTGTATCAATTAATAAGCTTTCACCACTATTCCTTGCACAGAAGAAATGTGTCCGAATCTTATTTGGGGACTCGGAAGCATTTAGCGACAAGTTTAAAACTTGTTCTCGTAGCAGGCCAATCCAGTGCAGTATAAACAAGAAAGGTCAAATATCCAATGAATCAACTATACCTCACATTAAACCGTGTTCTATATGTATCAGCTTGAGGAAGACTGGTGATAAACAAGCAAGGCCACATCGCTGCCAAATACTTGGGGCAGAATTCCACTCTAGAGAATCAACAAAACCTATTTTCCAATCTAAGGAACTAATGACAGTACATAACATATATAGATACAGATGCATTACTGAAACAATGAAGATAGTGAAGAGTCATCAGCCCATATCCATGTATTCTCTCTTTAAGAAGTCTCAGCTCAGAGATGACAGATTTGTGACACCACACTCATCTCACAATTTCGCATATAAAGGGGCAAATCTATGGAATACGTTTCTTGAACAGTCAAATGCACGTGGTAAAATAGGTTCTCTAGGCTCAATTAAATCCCAATTGAAGCTTTCTATCATGAAGGCTCAACACCAACCTGACAATATTAACTGGCAGGACTTAAACTTCAACACTTTCCTATGAAAAGACCCCCATTTATATTTATATATTTTAGATTTTACACCTGTCACTCACATCATATATGCACCCCAAAAGAAAAAAGATTCATTCAATCATTACATTATACACTCACTCCACCACACATGCACACAAAACATTAAAGCAGGTTACACGCGGGTGTAACGTTCACTTTATCCGAAGGGAAAAATAATACTTTACGTAACGCGCGATTTACGTCTTGGTAGCTAAATTATTCAAGTGCTATTTGTCAGAGCGACACAAATGCGCGAGCGCTTGCGCGGCTCACCTATCCAACACTCTTGTTTACATCGTATCAGGCAATGGTTCAGTTTAATTATGGTAAGGGCACAGCCTGTCAAAAACCCTTTTCGCATGATCCGTCGACACCGCCTGAAGGTGAATGCATAATAACGGATCATGAACGTACGGAATCAAACGTTAATAAGCTTGCAGCTTCCGATGAAAATGTATTCAACTTTGTGTCATGCTTGAATTGGTTTTGGACCTCTTCAATGCTCTTAATTTATTTATTATTGTTATTTGGTATTATGAGCTGATATGTATATATACATACGGTATCTAAAATTAAGCGTATAGCGAGCATATTTAACAATTTTTAAGCAATAATGTATTGCGAGCAGCTGTAACTTAAACATCGCATAAAAATCATATAATTATAACACAAAACTAAAATTTTATTGGAATCTAGGTTAAACTAAGATAAAATTAATATCAGCCCCTTCGCCACTCTCAGCAGTCAACCAGGGCTCATAAAAGCTTAAGGCCACAGGGGGGGGTCCGAGGTCGATTTTGAGATTTTGAGATATGTTGTAGAGCTCGATCTAAATTTTCAAATGCTTTTGTCCTTACCGAAAACAAAGTTTCCTATTTGAAGATATCGCGCGTTGAATTTTGAGGTTTACCTGTAATTCTATTGTAAATGAAAACTTTAAATGAAATCGTGTTCAAAATCTATCTTCTTTTTCAGTTTATGACTTAGAACCTTGTAACTTAGCAACAATGTTCTTCAAGGTATTTTGAGTTTTTGTTATGTAACGATTTATGATATCTTGCTCCAAAGCTGAGATATGAGGTTAACCATGAGTGCGGGTTACAAAATTTAAAATGGTTAACCTCATAAAAAGAGTTAGGAGCAAAATTACAACAATCGTTACATAACAAACTTTTAAATTTATGTCAGGAACATAAGTTCCAAATTTGAGGTGAAATGGATAAAAACTCTAGGAGAAGATAGATTTTGAAGTCAAAAATTCGAGTTTTTCAGGAGAGGCAAAAAACTGTTTTTTATGTTATGTGATTTTTGAGAATTTTGCCTTTATTTGTATATTTTTCAAAGTTTAACTGCTGAAATAACACAAAAACAATAAAAACAAAGCTTATCGTAGTTTTCAGTTGTAATGGCATCAATATTTCTGCCCTCCATTATCGATTTATCAAAAAAATGAGGTTAAATGAGAATTGGTGAACCTCATTTATAAAAAAAAGTAAAATAGCTACAGACAAATGAGTGGTGGCAAAGTATCCACCACAAAAATATATATTGATTCAAAGCATAATGTTTTTTTGCATTTTTTGAGGCCTCGACCCCCCCCTGTGGCCTTAACAGCGCCTGGGTCCGTTCACCAACTGTGCTAATGTGAGTGGCGGTGTGGTAAAACCCATTTTAACAGCGTGAATATTTATCAAATATAAGCGCGCTAGCTGCTAGCATACTTGTATCATTTAATTTTTAATCAAATTTATTCGGATATATATTTATTGATTATGTATTGAATTGGTGATAAATAATAAAATTGTCTTTTCTCAAATTGTCTTTTCTTAAATATAGAGTATCTACAGTGTAATATACTCTCAATAATATCATATGTCTAAGACCATCCTGAGAATTCTGGCTGATCCAAGCAAAGCTGTCTTCTGGAGATTAGAGATGCTCAGATTGCAGTGGACTGCGTCGAGGTGTTTACGAAAGTTAATGGTGATAGTTCCTAATGCGCCTATCACCACAGGAATGATTGTGACCTTTCGTAAATTCCAGTTCTTCTTAATTTCTCTTTTTAGGTCTTGATATTTCAGTATCTTTTCTTGTTCTCTATCCAGGATCCGGGTATCTCCTGGGACTGCAACGTCAATGATGGTTGCTGCGTTGGTTACCTTGTCTACCAGGAGGAGATCCGGTCTGCAGTGTTCGATAACGTGGTCCGACTGGACATGGAAGTCCCACAATATCTTGACTTTTTCGTTCTCCAGCACCTTCTCTGCCCGGTGTTTGTACCACCTTTTACTGCGTGGGAAGCCGTATTCCTTGCACAGACTCCAGTGCAATGCGGCAGCTACTTTGTCATGCCGACACTTATATTCTGTCTGTGAAAGTTTTGGGCACCCATTCAGTATGTGGTCTATTGTCTCGTAATGATTTCTGCAGAGTCTGCAGAGGGGAGAAGAGCCAGGTGTTTTGTCAATCCTGTGCTTCACATAATTAGTCCTAAGTGCTTGGTCTTGGGCTGCTATCAACAATCCTTTTGTCTCCTTCTTCAAGTCTTGTTGAGTGAGCCAGTTCCAAGAGGTTAACGGGTCCGCTATACCCATCATCTGCCTTGGGAACTGTCCGTGCATCACTTTAGCAGTCCACTTCTCCTTGCGGATTTCCTCGCGTTGTGTTCGGTCGATATCTTTCTCTATCTCTTCACCCAAGAGTATCTTGTCTTTGACAAAGTAGTCCTTCAGAGCAATCAGTTCTGGGTCTCTACTTCTCACCACATAAGTGGTGAGTGCATTCTCCTCTCTCTTTACGACTTCCTCTATACTATGTAGCCCACGGCCACCCAGTTGACGGCTTACGTATAACCGATCAACATCTCCTTGAGGGTGGTGAGCTCCATTTATCCTCATCAGTTTCCTGGTCTTGACATCTAAGGCTTTGGTCTCTCCAGCATTCCATGAGAGAATTCCAGCTCCATATCTTATCACAGGTACAGCCCAGGTGTTAATTGCTTGTATACTATTCCTGCCATGAAGCTGGGATTTTAAAACCTTTTTAACTCTTCTGATTTACTCTTTTGTAACCAGTGCTTTCATCTCTTTGTGTAGTATATCATTGGCTTCTAGTATTCCCAGATACTTATAGCCCTCGTCCTCCAACTCATGGATCTGTTCACCTGTGGGTAGGGAGATGCCTTCGAAAACGGGTCTTGCTCCCTTCTTCACCTTCACCACGGCACATTTCTCTAGCCCGAATTCCATTTTTATGTCACTGCTGAACTCTGCTGTGGTATTAACCAGTGTTTGCATTTCGTCTTCACTCTCGGCATACAACTTGAGGTCGTCCATGTATAGCCTATGCGACACTTTTGGTCCATCTTTTCTGTCCAGAGAATATCCTATATCATGCTTATTCAAAAGAATGGACAGGGGTATAAGACTAATGATAAAGTGAATAGGTGATACTGAGTCTCCTTGGAATAGACCTCTATTAATTTTAATTCTCCCTAAGGAAACTTTACCAAGCATCAGGTTAACATACGATTGTTTGAAGGAGGCTTCAAACAGGTCTATGATGATTGATGGATAAAGAGATACCACACATGGTCAAACAAGACAGAATCCAGGAGTGTGGGACGCTATCATACGCCTTCTTGTAGTCTATAAACGTCATGTTCAGGTTCCGCTTCCTTCGTTTACAGTTCTTCAGAATGAGTTTGTCTATCATTAACTGTTCTTTACATCCTCTGCTCTTCTTCTTGCACCCTTTCTGCTCAGTTGGGAGGAGTTTTTGCTGGTCTAAATGGTTGTATATGGAATCTGAGATTAGACCAGTGAACAGTTTCCACATAGCTGATAAGCATGTAATAGGTCTGAAATTGCCTGGGATGGGTCCTTTGGAGTGGTCCTTTCTGAGCAGGTACGTGCGTCCCAATGTCATCCAGTCTGGGGTATCAGCGTTGGTTAAGCAATTCATAAGTTGATCTGCAATCCTATTGTGGAGTTCTTTAAAGTGCTTTATCCAATAAGCATGCAGTCCGTCTGTACCAGGAGAGGACCGATTGGTCATTTTCTTCACCCTATTTGCAACCAGGGTATTAGTTATAACGAACTGTCGCTGTTCATCTGCTGAGGCTAGTGCTGTTCTGACATCCGGTAACCATTCAGCATCACTACACTGTTATGTTCAACCGGCTGCTCCCATATGTTCTTCCAGAACTTCAAACAAGTTATTATTATTATTATTATGAAGGTAACCATTAAATTAATACGAAAATTACATAGATACCTACTTTAACATTTCGTCAGAACTATGTAGAATTATTTATAGAGTAAAGATTTTTGAGAAGTATAGAACCATTTTAGAATAAAAGTAAAAGAGGCATACAGTTCTATACTTCTTTTAGTAAAGCTATAATAAAGTAAAATACAATTTAAAAAAAGTAAAATACAATTAAAAAAAAGTAAAATACAATTTTTATTTTCCACAGAAGAATCAATACAAATTGATTTATAAATATCCGATAATTTCATTAATAACCATTAAAAGTTGCTTTGTAAAATCAAAAACGGAAAGCCGTACGCTGAACGCGCGCGGCATCTTATCGTCAGCTGCCTAACTTGTAGCCGCTTATTGGGTGACGATGTCAACCCATCGAGATCGTTGCTCTGCGAAGCAAGAATGCTAGTTCGCGATAACATCAAAGCCGCCGCGGCCGCGCGCGCCAAGTGCTGGGGTGCATTTTCATAGACAATTAAACTTGGTCAAAGCAAAGATATTTAAATTCAATTCCTAAATTAAATCAATAATCATGTTGATATGAGTATTCAACACTAATCGACAATCACAACAAATATTTGTAGGCCCATCGACAATTCAGTCGCCCAAACAAAAATCAAATGTTTGCTTTTTCGTTTCGGGAACTGTTTGAACTCAATATTATATCCAACTTATCATACTTTATAATGGTTAAAAAACAAAGTAAAAAGATTTTCCTCAATGGACCGGCTTACCTGAGGACCCCAGGCTTTAATGTTGGTAAACAACAGGCAGAATGACAGGCTGAGCGCGGCCCAGTAATGGGCCGGCATTCGCATTTCGCAAGCGCGAAACGTTTTGAGTACGACAAACGATGACACCACCACCAGTCCTTAATTGATAAGTCCATGGGCTAAAATTAGATTTGTAATTTCATATTGCCTATCACCTATGTTACTTTACATATACTGTTTCTAGTTACACGCTAGCGATCTCATGAGTCCTCAATAAACGTGTGACCCAACAGAAGGAATTGTGGAAGGACACGTACATTTTTCATTAACACGTGCCCCGATTACCCCCTCCGTTGAGCTACGAGGAACGTTGATCGCTAGTTTGCTCTAACCAGAGCCCTCTCCACTCTCGATTGCATGTGCAGTAGCGCGCTTGTGAAACAAGCGCGTCACGCAGTACGCGTATATGGTATACACATTATTGTAGGTTTAAAACCTACCAGGACGCGCGCCGAGTTGGACTCGTCGACGAACAGATATTTTACGAGTATCACCCGTAAAACACATTAACATGGCTATGTGAAATCGCTAGTCTGTAGTCAGACTATGGGTGATTCGGAATCAGCGTCCGAAAATACATCCATTCAAGTTGGTTTCAACTGTCGGGGGCCTTTTTAGAACAATCTTGAAGATCGACTGTAGAATAATTCAGAACGCTCCACAAACTATAGCTTATAATATAACTATAAGGATTAATATAATAATTGATAATGACAAAAGTCCAATAATAAGGATTAATTTAAATTTTCCGGCAAGATCCGGCAACCTTATAATTGCCCTTTCTAACAACCGGTTCCGGTCCAGAAAAATCCGGCTAACCGGATAACAGATTGATATCCGGCAGCCAACAGCTCATTCCGGTCGGTTCCTAATCTGTAATCGGTATCTAAGCTTAAAATATTCGAGGTGAAAATGAGGCTAACCACCTTTTGAGAGGGTGAAATGAGGCTAACAAGTATAACAAATATAACGTCCTCAATAAATGTAATATATTTGTTGACAGACGTTGCATGACACTTTTCGCCGCCGAAGTGTGCGCTGTTGAATAATCCAACTAGAGAGAGAGCAAATTTGGCGAATCGTTTAGCTTAATCGTTGATACATGTTTCGTATCCCAATATCAGAGATAATATTGGCGGCGCGCGCTTCGCGCGCGAAAAGTGGCATGCAACGTATGTCAACTTAATCGCGGTGTTTTTACCCTTAAAATCTGTCGCACATAATATAATTGTAGGCAGGAGTGGGATCGCACTATTTGCATAATTTTACCGCACCAATATGTTTCCTCTGTTCCTGGGGGCAGTGCACAGAATGGAAAATTCTGTCACATGTTTGAATGAAACTCTGCTCTGGAATAAATCTTCACTATATTTACAAACAAAATCTAAAATTATTAAATCAAATTCTGTAGAGCAAAAAAATATCAATTCTCTTTTAAGTCTAACAAGTAACAACATAAGCCAAGGTTGTGCATTGGATTTTAAGCAGTAAATCTTAATAAAAATCCAGTCATGGACTTATAACTATAAACACTACAAAACACAAGTTTCTGCAGTTAAACAAATTAAAAAATCTGTCCGGTTTGGTCCTTGATCAGGACAGCAACTTAACATCTATATGTTCTGCGTTTCTGCGGTATCGTATACGTTTTTTGAAACCTCATTGTTTCCTGATACGGGTGCTTTGTTGTCTGTTTTTCTCACAGCATGGTTCTGGTCAGATGAGTACTAGGGGGATTAATTGTTAAAATTATCGTCCGTGATAAATTCTTATTGTAGTGCGGGATTCTCGATTAATTCTCGCATGGATTATATGTTTCATGTTTGAATTGTGTAAAACCCTTTTATAAGGTTCTTTTTTACAGCCGTACCTAATACAATAAATTCAATATTAAATACACGCTTAACCATCATATATTGATACAGGGTGGGGGACGATATCAAATTAGCATTCAGAATTCCCATGCTTGCTAAATGCTTACTAACTAATTTAAAAAAATGCTTCCAATGCATTACCGTTTAAAATGAATTGAACAAGAATACGAAGACTTATAAAGTTATAACAATGATCAATGATGCAAACCTAAAACTGTAAAACATGAAGACACGGTCACTTACGGCTACGCTGCAGGAGTTGCTGGCGGCTAGTTTAGGGGTGGTTAGTTTAGGAGTGGCTAGTTTAGCCACCCACTTGGTTGGATCGGTAAACGTACTCTATAGTTCGACACGCACTCCAATTCGACACGTACTATAGTTCCGAGTTCGATACGTTCTCTAGTTCGACAACCCTTAAGTTCGACTCTGTCGAACTTGTTTGGCACATACTAAAGTCCGACACAAACTAAAGCTCGACAAGAGAATTTTGCCTGTCGAATAAGAGTTTTGAAATCTCCGATCTCAAGCGACGATCCTTTACGAACTTGAATTCTATTCGTTCGTTTGTTTTCCACTTGTCGCATGTTGTTTGACTATGTGTGGATGTAATCTTAATGGGAGCTGATTCGATTGATCACTACAAGTTGGTGTCTAGCTGGATTCAGACTCCATTGTTATGGAGGAGGCTGCATCATGACGCCCCGGTAACTCGTACTGCGTTTTATATAATATCTAGATTGCAGACTGTAGATCACGCTATATATTAATTGACCACAGACAATAATAAAAGTATAATGTGGAGATAAACTGATATATATATATAATATAAATATGTATCAGTTTATTTCCATCTCGTCACCTTCTCTTATTAGCTCCTCACTAACCTTAATTTTCTTTTAATCGAGTCAGACTACGTTTAATAATACGGAGCATTCAGAATTGTGCAATTTAAATTTAATATTAACTAATTGTCGAGAAAGAGAAACATCAAGGTAGTGATGATCAAATAATAATTGAAGAGAGCGATCACGTGATAACTTTGTGACACCGTCCTAGATTACTTTTAAATAACCAAAGGTATCGACCAGAACTCAATTCATCGAAGTTCGATCACGATGCGGTCCTTTCTGTTTCTCGTTGTCGTGTTGGCCTGTGTTACCTTCACTACTTCACTACAAGTGAAAAATCTAAGTTCAAATCAAGTTGCAAGAAGTTTGAGAAGATCACTAGAGGTTTAAAGATTATTCTTTAAAATTTCTCGACGGTTGCAAGATAGGAGGTAGAACTTTAAAGAAAAAACCGCTAAACAATGTCGAACAGTGGAAGAGCAGGTCATCACTGCAGATTGCGGCATTAAAACCAGCACGAGCACCAGAACCAGAACCAGAACCTCAACTAAAACCACAACCACAACCAACTGAGAGGCCAGATATAATGGAACCAGAACCAGAACCTCAACTAAAACCACAACCACAACCAACTGAGAGGCCAGATATAATGGAACCACCCAGAAACCCAAGAACAGTAACCGATGATATACACAACCGGACTTCGACCGGAACTTCTTGGACATGCATGAGGACAGTAATATGTCTACAGATTTTATTATGATATAGGTGAGGAATTTCGTTGTTAAAATATAGTTTTCCTAAATTGATCATTGATCGAGCAACAAAAAATATACATATGTTTTAAAAATCCTTATCGGGTGAACTGTGAATGAACATACAGCATTTTGTTTCCATGCAACGAGTGTGGGACATTTTCACTTCATGAGTTTGAACTTTGAAGAAAAACAAATTACAGTAAAATAATGTGATATGGTTCATTGTTTTACTGTAATTTAAATTTTTTTTTAGTACTACCATTTAGGGTCCTACAAATCACAATCCAAATCCAGCTACAAACGCATACTGGGAATATAATATAATACATCTTATCTATTTAATTTTAGGCGCTCTAATCTTCTCCTTCTTTTACTCGTATCTTGTAACTTTGTAATACTTCACATAAACATGACAGCGTACACGTGTTGTGAAGCAGCACACATACCTTATTCATCAGCCAAGCAAGATGTTACACCAAAGGAACTGTGTAAGATAGATGAAGCGATTTAATGACTTGTAGAAAAACAAATAATGGAATTTAGAAATATCCACTGTGCTACAATATATAAGTTTGACATCGAACATTGAAGAGCGGCTATAATAGCACACGTTAAACAGCAAACTTACTTAAACCTAAATTCTAGTATCGTAATCATTTTCCCCATTTTCACTTCCATTTCCATGACCATTAGTAGGAGCCTTCTTATTGACCAGAACAGTTGCAGTTTCAGGGCCACGCCCTACCCTCTTCTAGAATTGAGTGTAAATCAACAATCAACATGCAAATTAAAGGAGTGCAATTCTATGCTAATGTTAGATCAACATTTGGCTAATCCTTCATTTATAATCAGGTTCGAACTCAGTCACTCTGTCGGTAATTCATAAATTCTGAGTATGAAATATCTCCGTTACCAGAAAGATAGCAGTATACGAAGCCCAAATTGTATCAATCATCATGTACAATTGCAGTAGTTGGTGTCCTACTGCAAAGTCACTAGAAAAACTAGACATTTGCCATAGAAAACACCTTAGATCATTACTGAACATTTATTGGCCTCATGAAACAATATCCAATGCAAACTTATACCTAAGATGTAACTCAGTAAAGCTATCAGATCGTGTCCCTAAATCAAGGTGGAAGCTCCTAGGTCATATCTTGCGTAGTGCTGATGACTCCCCCGCTGCATTAGCGTTAAAGTTTGCTGTCACAACAAACTGTAAAGGGCGTGTCGGTGCGCATCGTAAGAATTTGTTCAAGATTATTGTGAATGATTTGACCCGTAGAGGTTTAAAACTTAACTCTTTGAATGATCTTAATAAGCATAAGATATTAGCCGATGATAGAGTTGCTTGGAGAAACAAATTTTTACTCTAGCTGTCTCGATCTGTACTGATCACCATTTTAGGATGACTTTATTTCTTTTAGGGGTTTTGAATATTTTAATGGTGTAAACAGTTTCTTAATAAATCAGATTGATTTTAATAATCAATAATCATGAATAATAACTGTGCGCAATACATTCATCCATACCATTCAATCTTTCAATGCAATCTAATGCAAATCAGTCAATCTCAGTTACAAATTCCAGTAATAAAATATAATTTTAATCAAGTTCTTACCAAGTATCTCTTTCTGATGAAGAATGCAGCAATCACTACAGCTGCTAGCATGACAAGGACCGCCACAACCACGACTATGATCACTGTTGTGGAGCCTCCACCATCACTCACTTTATCTGTCATTATTGAACATATCAGTGTTGATCCAGAAGAATGCCATGCCTTCTTGATCAGAGGCGTACATTAATAAACGAGGCACATGTATACTTGCATATTTCGGGCCAGTTACTTCAGATTTGCCCTACCCTCACCGTGGACACTAATTCTTCAATTTGCAGAGATACGAAATTATTGAACCAAGTTTCTTACCTCCATCTTCCTTGCAAGTAGGAACTATGCCAGTACTACATTTAAACTTCTCTTCTCCCGTGTGCAGAACGGACCCATTGTCGCAAGTCATCTTGATGAGTGTGTTGGGATCTACGTTGTATCCTGTTGGAGGAGACATGCTGCCGTGTGTCACCTGAAAGAAGGTTCGTCAAACGGAGATCCCTAACTAAAATATCCGGAAATTTCATACTTCGAGTTTTTCGGTTCATTTCAATGAACTTTTCGCGTGTATTCGATAGTGAAAAGTTTCAGAAGAATAAACAATTCTCCCCAGATAAACTCACCCCAGGAACCTTACAGAGTTCCTTACAATCGCCACTGCTGGTGCTACCTTTACCATAAGTAGTGGAGCCACTGGTACACTTCTCACAGCCCACAGAGTTGGGAGCCGTACTGTAGGTTCCCACCGCACATGCGTTACAGATATATCCCCCCGGGATGTGATATCCCGCCGGACACGTGACTGAAAATGAAACGAATTAGTTTAAATGGATCATCGTTCAATTCATATTCTTATGTTGAAGAGGCTTTTACAGCAAGATCAGACAAATGTAATGAATGAATAATGCAACAAATTTTCTCTTCACAGAGGTTTAAGACTAATGAAATGGTACTGGTAGGTTGATAACACTTAACACTATTCTAATATTTAATGACTCACTGCATGAACCCGAGATTTGAGCAAACCCAGCCTCACAAGCCGTTTTCACGTTCCCGGTATAACTGCCGTCCTCAGCTGTGAATCTCGTAGTCGCTCTCTTCTTTGATGTTGTTACTCTGAGAAAAGTCTTGAATTTAGAATTATGTCAAAAATTATCAAACTATTTTTGTTGTTTGTATGGCAATCGGTTCAATGAAATCCCCTGATATGCCACACTTTAAATACTACATTCATTTCAAAGTTTAAATATCCTTCTCACTCAAAAGTCATGGCTTCGGCGGTGACAAGCTCTTTGAGCCTTGAATCTGAGGAAGTAAGAGTGGAGGCGTCTTCTGAAGAGAGGTCTCCATACTGCAGAAGCTCAAAGCTCACTACACTCGATCCATCACCATTCTTACAGCTGGTATTTTGTACCTGATAAGTGTTGAGATGATTTAATTTTATCGTATAAACAATGACGTGTACACGGTACGTGGGTGATAATCAAATTTTGAAGAACAGTCTTAATGTAATTATGATAAGGTGGGTCAGGAGTTATCATGTTGAAACTGATCTTCTCAAACTAGACAACTAATTAAGGAGTTACTGAAAGAGAAACTAACCGTGCATTTAGCACCAGTAACACAGGGCACAGCCGCAGAACCAGAATGGATGTAAGTTTCAAAGGCAGCAACCACAGCTGCTTTCTCTGGATCTGTCTTACAGTAATCCACGTCAAGGTAAAGTTCTACTTCTAAGACATGGGACTTGGGGGTCTCCTGTTTAGCACATGCGGCAAAGTTTCCCTGACTGTTGGTAAAGGACTGGTGGCTCCACCGTAGATCTTCTTGACAGGTCACTTTCTGTAGGATAACAGAAGTCAGGAAAATTATATACTATATATATTAATATTTTTTTAACATAATTATGTTTTTACGATCGAGGTATTAATTAACAGCTTGGCACGGTAACACAAGGAGTCGTGGTTAATGTTTACCTTAATTTCGCTCAGATAAATGTATCCTGGGTCACATGAGACAGTGCACGAACTTTTAATAATGTAAGTGTAACCTCCATTACATGAGAGACCTCCGTGCTCCAAGTGCTTTAGTGGCGGACATCTTCCCTCTGTTCGGGGAAACTCTTCTTAGTAAGAATTTTAGATTCCGGTAGAATTAATTTGATCTACGATATAACGAAGAGCCCTGTAATAAAGTGGAATCGCTCTTATCACTGGTTAACACAAAATCTTTATTTTTCATACAAATAATATTTTTCCATAACAAAATCACTAGTAATTACCTTTGTAAACGCAATTTTGAGCATCTGTTTTCCATCCTGCCTCCGCACATACACGGGGGTTAGTTCCGTTCAGGTTGTAAGCAAGTTCACATATCGCACTGACGCTCTAGTGAGGGAGTGTTAGTTTGATGAGTTAAACAAGTTCACATATCGCACTGACGCTCTAGTGAGGGAGTGTTAGTTTGATGAGTTAAACAAGTTCACATGTGAATAATTGCAACAGATGTTCACCTTTCTAGGATGAAAACTTTCTAGATTACCGCAATTAAGATGGAATAGGATCTCATGATTATCAATCCTTATCAGTATATCTTATCACCTCAGTAGTAAGGAATGGGCCGGATGATTCGTCCATGACCTTGCCGTTGATCACTTCGTATGACGGGCACATCGCGTTAACAGCTGGTTGAGTGAGTTGTTCTAACTTTTAATTTTTTTACTTCTTTTAAACTTTCCTCTGATTAATCAATCAATTCGAACTAACTGGTGAGAGTTGTCAATATACAGCTGATAGTTTGATATATATATGCAAGTTCGTTACTTCCTCACGCCCTAACTGTAACATATCTTACGTTTGCAAAGAGGGGCGGCATTACTCCACGCTCGGTTGTTACAAGTCAGCTCACTGTTCCCCACCAACTTGAACCTATCATTGCACTTGTAGCTGACCTTCACTCCCTGCTCGTAGGGCGTTGTAGCTTCGTTGTGTACGGTCATTACTCCGTTCTCTATGGCCAGATCCTCCGATTTGCAATGCTCTAGAGTTCCGGGTCAGATTAAATAGTTCTGACATGGTCATGTGACTACCTATTTGACCAGCTCTTTAAAATCATAAAGAAACTCTTACATGCTAACTTTGTACATATGGTTCGTCGAGCTAGAAGTTTATAATTTTCTGGTTCACCCGCTGTACTTGTAGAGCACTATGATTTTTTTCCCTGCTCTTGCCGATGGCAAAAAGATCGTAGGGAATGAGTAATCGGGTTTGGATATATGAGGTGGCCCGACGGTCCTACGTTGACGACAAAAGTTTGCTCCTTCGCAATATAGACCACTAACCTATAATTATGTGTATAGGAAGCATCTGTTATGCTGCGCGCGACACTAGCCATGTGTTAATTAATTACAGTGAAGTTCCTCAGCTCCTTCGCAAAGTTATTTTCCACAATTTTCAGGATTCATTTATTGTTGATGCACTACTGGGCCGCGCCGCGCATCCAATAATTCTTCTCGCAACCACGGTAGATCGGCGAGATGCACCATGCACTGGGCCTCACCGAGCTGCGAAGCACGAAGGACGTTGACATCGTGAATCAAATCCCACTCATTTATTTAAAAAACAAAGCGTGTAAATATGTTTTTCTAGTCACACTTTTCTGTTTTCACTCAAAAGAATTAATGGTACAAGTACATCGTAGGGCTGGGAAAATTGATCGTGCGTGGTTTAACCGCGGCGAAATTCTTGTTAACGAACAATTTTAGACAAAATTCTCGGTAGTTTTTTCTCTCTCTTAGAGAAAAATGTTAGACAATTAGACAATCCAATTTAGTGGGGAGAATGTGATAGAGGCATTTTGCAGACAGCTTTTATGTTTATTATACATGCGTATACCTTGAATATGATTCTATTGTATTTTTAAAACAGATCCTTCAAAATGTTTGCATACCAAATGAAGTATTTTTTCCATCGACTTCTTTTTTCTTCAAAAAAAGTATAATGTATAAGTATGGTTAGAAGTGGTAGGATTTGAGAATGGGTATAGACATAGTGCTTGCTCTAACCAGAGCCCTCTCAGTCTCACTTGCAGTAGCGCAACTTGTGAAACAAGCGCGTCACGCAGTACGCGTATACACATGGCTATGTGAAACATAGTGCCAATGGGTAGGTAGGTTTTTCGTGTCACGTGTCACAAAGGAAAACATGCATTACCCTCCGCATACTTTATTAGAATGCATATTCTCCGCGCGCAGAGCAGTTATGGTGTTGTCGCCATGGTTACCCTCCGCATACGTTTGCACGATTTGACGATTGATTGAATTAAACCTCAAATGCGCGGCGCCAAGCATACAATTTGAATTCTATGGTAATTGATTTGAATAACAAGCGATTTCCCGGATCTTATACATGTGTTAAGTAGTTCAAGCTTTTCTTTACTTGATCATTGATCATGATGCGGTACAGCATACTAACTTCTCGTTTTGTTGTGAGTGCTTGGTACAACCACCGAAAACTTAACTAAACTTAAAGTACTAGCAAAACTGCGCGTTTTGCTCTAGATATATACACACTTTTTTAGAGATTTTACCGGCGTATCCTCTAAAATCACCTAATGTTTTTGTTCAATTTTAGGGGGCGCCAACAGGGGGGCGCCTTTTCGGCGGGGAGGGGGGGGCAACAGGCAACGTTACGCCACTGCTTGGCTCCCGATAATGATATTAGTAATCCGTTATACTGTTGAACAAATTATGATGCTGATATTATGTTGAACATGATTGTCGAGTGATTGATTTGTTATATGTTATACGAAATGGATCATAAATGTTATTATCAATTATGAGTTACATTACCTACTCCGGATTTCACGACTAGCAATACCATTTTATTTAATCTAACAACTTATGTAAACTTGTAAACAACGATTCCTTCACATGGCTTTTGTTCTTCAAACTTGTAACTGCATAACACCGCACAGGCGCAGGATACGGTGTCCGGTCGTTTAACTTTCGATTTAAATATTTGACAACGGCAACCCCTCCATAACCATTTTGTTCTCTGTAACGCCCAAAAAGAAATTTGGTCATTTAACCAATATGAAACGATCGCTAATCGTAATTAAATTTAATTACGGTCGATGGAAATCTAGCGTCCGCTAACCGGCGCAATTCTTGTTTATATATTATTATATTTTTATACACAATTTTATTATGCGATCTGCCCTATAGGCATTTTGGCTAGTTCAGCAGCCACTGATATTGTCATGAAATACGATAACTTGATAAACTGATGAGCTAATGCAATGTTGGTAAGGGTATGGACATGGTATTCATTGATAAATAAGTTGATCGTTATTGGTTAAATTCATTGCTAATTCTATTGTGAGCTGTCGATAGCGAGATTTTACTGTACAGTGTAAGCTGTGCTTACTTCGTAGTATCAAGTATCGTTAGAAATCTGTCATTTCTAATTCACTTAACACACAATGTGTTCTTTTGACTCATTGTCCGTAATTTTCAGGTGTCAAATATCTCTCTTTTCATATTAAACAAGAATTGCGCCGTTTAGCGGACGCTAGATTTCCATCGGACGCTAGATTTCCATCGACAGTGGGCATTTCCTTTTAAAATTTTAAATAAAAATCGTTTCATGTTGGTCAAAATATTAAATAACTGTTCTTCTGTCTTCACCAAATCACAAATCTGAGGACTTCCGACTTATCACTATCAAGCCTCAGGCTCAAGGTTGTGCGAAATTTACAACCCAAAGACCGTACCAGAGCCTTACGATGTATGACAGAATTAAACGGAATTAAACGGAATTAAACGTAAAGTTGTCGGAGATGGCACTAACACCATCGTCTCGACTATACATGAATGAATAACATAACTAGAGTAAATAAAATTCGAGTTTCAAGAGTCATGAAAATTTAAAACACAAGCACTTAAAATTTAACTCCCGTACAAACAACCGAAATAGAAATAAATGCTGAAATAATAATTTAACATAAGAGGAAGTAGTAAAAGGCAACTTCAATGATCACTAAACAGTGATATCAGTATTCGAGTCCTCAAAAGACACATTCATAATCGAACGTATAGTACTGGAAACAGTAAACACTAGTGTTCCGTGCTCGTACAACAGATCGTGAAATCTGCATAATGATGATCTGTATTATGTATGTTGAGTTGGTAGTCTTGATGGGGTGACAGGCAGTATTGGCGTCTTTTTCGGGTTCCTGATGCGGTGACAGTTGCAAAGGAATTTGCCCAGTTCTTGCACATGGGCAGAATTTATGATAGCTCCGTATTCCTTGAGCAGCAAAAGACTCTTAAGGTTGTCCGACAGTGAAAGTCTCGCTGACTTTGACATTTAACACGAAACATTAAACCTATGTAAAACGGGAATGAATTTATATGTAAATCCATTTCAAAACAACATATCAAGAATAAATCATTGTAATGACATATATATAATACGCTGACGTACTGTAATTAACTGTCATGAAAACTTACAGTAAGCTTGGCGCCGCGCATTTGAAAGTGTAACTCAATCGTCGAATCGTGCATGGCAAACGTATAGTATGCGGAGGGTAATCGTGGCGACGAAACCATAACTGGTCTGCGCGCGTGGAGAAGATGCATTAAAATGGCTATGCGGAGGGTAAGGGTCTGCCCACACTACACATCTATTCCCCGAAGGTCTGCCCACACTACGTTGACGGATTTTACTCGTCTAAATTTCTTCGAAGTAGCGCGCGCCGCTTTCTTCTCGACGGCCCGCTTTCTTGCCCGACGGCAAGTGCTACGAAGTAGCGCGCGCCGGGCCAGATCATTAACAATGGTCAACACACTACGCCATGTGGTGACGGGCCACATGACGTGGGTCAAAAAAACCGGATTCACACAACGAGGCGCAGAGCTCCCGCCAGTTGGCGTGGAAACTCTCGGGGAAGAGAGGCACGAATTTTTTAAATGGCCCGTCGTCACATGGCGTAGTGACAGTGTAGGCAGACCTTCGGGGAATAGAGGCGTAGTTGCTCTAACCAGAGCCCTCTCGCTTGCTATCTACTTGTGAAACAAGCGCGTCACGCAGTACGCGTAGACACATGGCTATGTGAAGAGGCGTAGTGTGGGCAGACCCTAATGCATGTTTTCCTTTGTGACACGTGACACCGTACGAAAAACCTACCTACCTACCTACCTACCCTACCCATCCTCAAATCCTACCAATTCTAACCATCTTATGATTTTTTAAGAAAAAAAGTCGATGGAAAAAATCAGTTATGATTTAATTTCTCTTCATCAGCTAGCTATGTACTGTAGTATGGATTTTATTTAACATAATTTGACCAAAACCCATAATTGGGGAGAGTGGCCAGCTGCCAGTGTCTCTCTTTCCCAAACTAAAGGAAATGATATCAATTTGAATGACCGTTCTCAATGCAAAATGATACCGAGAATGAAATCGGTCGCTCGCTTTTCTCATTCATTCACGGCTTGCGAATTTTAGTAAGTTTCGATTAATTATATCAATCACATGCTGTACAAATCTCTTTGGGTTGCTTTCGGGTCGATACCTAGTATTTCGGGATAAGGGCGGTATAGTTAGTGTCCAATTAGCTGAGTTTATTCATTATTGAATCTTTATTGCCGAGTACAGCTGCCTTCAGGTAGTTCTTCTTAATCTATTACAATTGTAATTGTAAATGAATGGGAAAAGCGAGCGACCGATTTTATTTAAGACAATTTTTCTTCTAAAATCATCTATTTGGTAATAGTATAGGGGATATAATAGTATATAATGTATAAGGTCCACGGTCGTGCTTGCCAGCACTGTGATTACACTGACTGGCATAAGAGGATACAGTTGGCTGCAAATGCACGAATCAACAGAACACGTTGGTCAGTTATTCTTATTACTAATGACGATTCACATCATCCTATCTGAAAGGTTCTACAACTAACATAAACCCATCCAAATTCCTTACCGCATTCAGTTCCATCTAAGTTTCGTTGCTTGCCATCTCCACAAGGTATACACAAGACTGCTCCTTCTATTGTACTGATCGTGTTGTCAGGACATTCTGCACACGTGTCCATATCAAAATTTTTGTAGCTTCCAGCTGGACAGGGCCCTGAAGTGATGTTAGATCTTGTAATATAAGAGCCAATATCCTCAGGTTACACAAACAAAGATCTTAACATTTTAACAGTGCGTGGTAATATGATATTCTATATCATTTCTAGCAAATTATATCACGTTCAATTTCATAGAACAACTACATGAACAAGTTTATAACTAACCACACGCAGATTGAGGAAGGTCTGGCTGGAACCCAGGGTCACATTTCCTGCATTGGGCGCCATCTCTAACTGTACCAACGTCACACTTATCTGAAGAATGTTTGATTTATCACCTGTACAGAGTTACTGTCGATATTATATTCCCATTCAATAAGCTTTATTACAGTTCGTAAGCCGTGAATGAATGGGAAAATCGAGCGACCGATTTCATTCTCGGTATCAATTTGCATTTGCGGACGGTTATTCAAATTAATATCATTTCCTTTGTTTTGGATAAAATACTGTATACAAGTTACTACGCTGTACACTAGTTACTATACTTTACACGAGTTACTATACTTTACACAAGTTACTATCCTGTATACTAGTTATTATACTGTACACTAGTTACTATACCAGGCCACGTACTGGTTGGTGTTTCCCAGTGTGGTGTGTGCTGAGACTGGGGTGGATGGCTGAAGCCAGGGGACCGCTGGGCTGAGTGGCGAAGCTGGTGGTCGTAACGGAGGCAGTCCACATTGAGCACCCAAGCGACGAAAGTCGCTAGGTAGCTCGTGGGGATAGCATCCGGGTCGATAGCTGGCGGCGTTGTCTTAGCATGGCGTGCCACTGGGTGTAGGCACTCTGTTCTGGGCTCGCATGCATCGCGTCAGGGGGCTTGTCGGCTGGGGCGTCTGTCACACGTGTAGGTACTTATTGATTTAAAGTACAGCGGCAGAGTCAATCCTGAGCACTAGAGCACCACTTATGACTCTGCCCATTTGCTCTGGAGTTACTGCCCAGGACCCAATCCTATCCTGTTTCTCTCACCTATAGTGATTGGTAATGGTGCTTTATCCAAAGCAAATGACCTTGCCGTGGTAAGGGGGCTTAATCGGCATCACAAGACCAGCCGAGACTAAGCTGTACTGTTCAGCTGAGCAAAACTGAACGTAGGTCGCACGTGCCAACCGTCTTCCTTTACCCCATTTGATCCCTTTTTCTTTTGGAGCTCTCACAGCCTTCACTCACACCTGAGCATATAGGGTTTTAGAAGTTCAGGGTGTGCACTTCAAGGTCGGGCCCTTAATACCGATCATTAGCACCCGTTTTACTTTTACCTTATTAGCGGCATATCATTACTGTCGCGGTAGTAAAACAAACATCTTTCTACGATACGCAGAAAGTGTTAAAACTCTCACTAATACACTTGGACTACAACACCGGATTACCAGTGGAGGAGGCAGGACAGAGCTGGCCTCGTGTGGGATTGGCACACTTGCGCAGGCTTCACAGCCTTGCTGCGATGGTGCTGGTTCCTATCGGGGCTGTGCTCGTCCAGCAACCACCAAGGAATCCACCACTACTACACCTACACTACAACACCGGATTACCAGTGGAGGAGGCGGGACTGAGCCGGCCTCGTGTGGGATTGGCACACTTGCGCAGGCTTCACAGCCTTGCTGCGAGGGTGCTGGTTTCAATCGGGGCTGTGCTCGTTCAGCAACCACCAAGGAATCCACCACTATTACCCCTATACTACAAGTACAACTCCGGATTTACAAAACAATCATGACTGATAGCGGTAATGAGATGTATCAACTGCATAACACAGATGAGACATTGATTTTCGCAGAGCGGAGGTTTTCTGATTTACGCTTAACATCAGACATTATTGTGATTAAAGGACCTATTTCAACAACATTGCGCGGGAACGCGCACATAATCTCCCATATACTGATACACAACAACTCATTATCTCTCAATCCTACCCCACCGTGGAATAGGATACAGATCACCAACATCTGGGAGGCAGTGGCTGTGCAGCTACATGAAGGTGGGGGCCCGTCGACGGAGTTTAAACAAAGGCAGCGGATCTGGGTGGATGTCTCACCTTCGGGTGAGACATTCTTAGAGAAACACAGTTTTCTCCCGGAGACGCTGGCTGCTGCTATTCGACTTCGACCAGCCCCCCGACACAGTGCCCAATCCAAAAGGTCCTAGTACCCGACCGGTGAGGGTAACTGCAGGTGCTGCACGCCACGTCCCCAATACCAAAAAAACAGGTAAAACTCATCATGAATATTACTCTGTAACTCAAATCAACCTTAAACGCAAGTACAACGCTTGGAAAACCCTGCTGGTGAACACTCATGGCAGGAAAAATCCTATTGTACTAGCGACTGAACCATACACTAATAACAAACACCTAATTCCACCAATAAGCAAAGAACTAACCGAGTATTATTACAAAGTTGGGGACATTAGGCCCCGTGCCGTCATAGTAATACACAAAAACCTAGCTGAAAAAAGTTGGGAACTATCGCAATTCACAACCCCGGATCAAGTTGCTATTAAGATTCAACTTAGCTCGACAGAAGTAATTCTGGCAGCTTCGTACATGGATATTAATGGACCAGCTCCATCCCACGAAACCACACCTCTAGCCAAATACGCTATAGACAACAAAATACCACTCATAATAGGCTCTGACACCAACTCCCAACACACTCTTTGGGGTAACAGGTTGTGCAATAGAAGAGGAGAGGAACTACTTGATTTCCTCTCGTCGCTAGGGCTCTCCTGTTCCAACAAAGGTTCAACTCCAACATTCCTCAACTCACGAGGTCATAATTCCATCATTGACCTCACTATTACCAACCAACTGGGGGCTGAACTGATCAGTAACTGGCACGTTAGTGATCTTTACTCAAACTCCGATCACAGATATATCATGTTCGACATTACTTCTGGTCCCAAAAAAGAACCAAGACAAATACGCCTAGTCAAGAACACTGACTAGGCGAAATTTGACGAGATTCTTTACAACAACAATGATCTCCACAACACCTGCGTTAACACACCACACGACATTGATCACAAAGTTAACACCATTAATACTGCTCTCCGAGCGGCCTTCGAGGAGGCATGTCCCATTACTTACATCTCCAGCGCTGTCAGAAAACCACCCTGGCTAACTCGAGAAGTTGAGGAAGCACAGAGGGGTATAAGACGCAAACTCATCACAGCTCGTCGAATCAAAACTGATGCTTCGTGGCTCGCTCTTAGAGAAAGCAACAAGCAATACAACAAGATCCTGTCCAACTCCCAGCGCAATGCGTGGCGGAAATTCTGCGCAGACACAGAATCGGTTAAGGAATCTGGAAGGATGAACAAGATTCTGAAAACCTGTACTGACACCAATAACAAACTTGAAGCCGTTTATAAACCAAATGGCGAACTCACCAAAAACGCAGAGGAGACACTGGAGGTCATGACTCAAACCCACTTCAAGGAGAGTGTTACTGATCCGCCAGTTCCGCCTCTCTGCCCCTTACCCATCTCCACAGACTTACTAGACAAAATCTACAGCCCTGAAAGAATCGAAAAGGCTCTCCTATCCTTCGATCCCTTGAAGGCTGCAGGACCTGACACTCTAAAACCTATCATATTCCAGAAAGCCTGGGCTCATATCAAAGACATAACGAAAAACATTATGACAAAAAACCATGAAACGCAACACATCCCAACTTTGTGGAGGGACTCTCTTGGAATCTTTCTCCCTAAGCCTGGAAAAACCGACTACAACAAAGCTAAGTCATTTCGAACGATCACTCTTTCGCCTGTGATGTTAAAGTTGCAGGAGAAAGTGATCTTATGGCATATGCAACATGACCTCAACATAGCTAATGATATCAACAAACGACAATTCGGCTTTAAGAAGGGCTGCTCCACAGAAGCGGCACTTCATAAAGTTACTCACACCATTGAGCGCAGAATAGCCAAGAAAGGATATGTCCTAGGTGTCTTTCTAGATATAGAGGGCGCCTTCGACAATGTCTCGTTCAAGGCTATCTCTGAAGCAGTCAAGGCTACGAAAGTGGACTTGGCTACAGCACAGTGGATCATCAACATGGTAACCAATCGATTCATCACACTAAATCATAAGGATAAGTCGAGAAGGGTACGGATCAGGCGAGGTTGCCCCCAAGGAGGCATTCTCTCTCCTTTTCTCTGGAACCTGGTAGTCGACGATCTCCTTTCCTTTACCGCAAAAGACATCCCGGGTTACCTGCAAGCCTTTGCGGATGATCTGTTGTCTCTAGCGGAAGGGGATGATTTAGACATCATCTGGGACCGAACATGCAAAACTATTAAAACGATAGAAAATTGGTGCAGAACCAAAGAGCTATCTATTAGCGCCCTTAAAACTCAGATAGTCATGTTTACCTGGAATAGTAAGTGGACTCTAAGACCTATAACAGTTGGCAACAACATTATAGGTCTTTCCAAGTCTGCTAAATTTCTAGGAGTGACCTTGGACAGCAAACTCAACTTCAATGAACATATCATCAACACCACCAAAAAAGCCACGGCATCCCTCATGCAATGTCGAAGAGCTGTCGGCCCCACATGGGGTATGAGCCCCAAAACATGCAAATGGATGTACACGGCTGTCATCCGTCCAATCCTATCCTACTGCTGTAGTATATGGATCAGGGCCACTCAAACGGACTATAACGCGAAGAAACTCAAACGTGTTCAGGCATTGGCACTCAGAATGATGTCTGGTGCCATGCCAAGCACACCTTTTATCGCATTGAATCACCTCACCGACACTTCTGACATCATACTGTTCCTGCAAGGCGAAGCAGCAAAGGGTGCGGCCAGGCTACAAGCTTATGGCAGCCTCACTCTTGAAACTATTGCCTTCAGGAAGGGAGCTATCAAAAATCATACCACTATCAACAAACAATTCATGGCAGACCTCATTATCCCACCTAGAGCAACGAGAGACCTAACAACACCAACCATGATGCTGGGACGGCACTTCACCGTCACAACTCCTGGAGCCGATACCACTGAATATAGAAATTCACTTCAAAACACCATTGACAACATTACCAGTGAAACGATCACCTGCTACACTGACGGGTCACTCACAGACTCAGGATGCGGGGCTGGCTATATCATCACAACTGACAACAATAATACCACCCTTGAAGAAAGATCATTCAAGCTCCCTGATTATTGCACTGTTTACCAAACAGAGCTCACCGCCATCATTGAAGCTTGCAAATATCTCTCTACCTATACCAACACACATATCATCATATGGTCTGACAGTCTCTCATCTATACAAGCTATCTCTGCGCTTTCAACGCGGAGTAGAGCTACAAGAGACTGTTACGACTCTCTTAATGCACTCGGATCCAACAACACGCTAGAGATACGGTGGATTGCAGCACACATCGGATTGTGGGGGAACGAAAAAGCAGATGAGCTGGCCAAGCTTGGTACAACCAGTGAATCCACTTTGAAGTGTCCAATTCCACAATCCTACATCAAGCGTCAAATCGACAACAAAGTCAACAGACTGAATCAGGAAACTTGGTTAACTGACGGTCCCAGACACACCAAACTGACACTCGGCCACAAGCATGCCAAAATCATCAAAAACCTCAACACTACACTCAGCAAAAACAGACAAGATTACAGAACTGCAGTTCACCTCATCACGGGTCACTGCGGCTTAAACAAACACCTTCACACCATTTGCAAATCAAACACCAGTGCTTGTCCTATGTGCGGCGACGGAGAGGAAACTGTCTCACACTTCCTTGGACAGTGTCCGGCTATTGCCCAAATTAGAGGTCAATATTTCCAGGACTACTACCTCTCTGTCAATGACATATTCGACAACCAACACATCACCACAATTGTCGCAAACCGCACCAAACCGCACCAAACGCTTAATTGTGCCGGAAGAGCTGGATCAGACCGGGGTGACTTAAAGTATTATCTCATATGCTGTCTCGTCTCGTTTTACTTTTCCAAACCCAGCTGGCATTTAAGCTTATTATTTTGACTCATATATCATCTTACACCATCCTCCACCAATCACTCTGATTTCACCGGCAACCTTCCCCAAGGTTGCCACATCCCAGAGGTAGGCAGAGCATCTCAATGCTATCCTCTCGTGGGCTATCTTGGCCCAGCCTCTCTTATAAAAATAAAAATAAAAATAAAAAAAGGCCACGTACAATATATCTGGTTACTGTAATATAAAATGATTGATGTTAATAACCTGTTTTAGCCTCTCTATAGTAATCTGAGGCTTCGTTGCGTTCAAATTTTATATACTCCGTCTCTCTGTTCCAGTAGTCTCCCCACGTACCCTCTAACGTACTGTCACTACACAAGGTGTCTGATAGCAGCACGTTACCTACTTCCTCGTTATTACAGTGTATAACAACTCTGACACCTGAACTGCGTGTCAGGGTAATCCTCCATATCTTGTCAGTAGTGGAGGGCAGAGTAACTGGGAAATCAATCCTGGAACTGCTGCAGTAGTAGAGCCAGTACTGGTATTTGGTAGATAAGAATAAGATAGCAACTCCTCCTGATGGTCTTTCTGAGGTATCGTAGAAATACACCCACACTGCACTATAACTTCCCAGCCGACTATCAGTCCTTATCTCCAGTGAAGTAGATTCAAGTGGGAAGGGTATTGGCTCGCTAGTGATGCCACGTACTGTTACTGCTGTCCACCCTGCAGTTGTGAGTTTGTGAATTATTTTCACTAATGGGTTATTTATTGTTAATTGAAAATAAATTGATCATTCTGACGGGAATATTTTTAATCAGTCTACTATTTTAAATTTTACTTTACTTCTAACGATATTCTTACCCAATAAATTCCGTTAAATAACAGCTAATAGTTAAAATAAGATGCTGAAGGTATTTCAGAAGTTCAACAAAAACCTAAACAAACATTTAGACAAAAATGATTACCTTTTTTTGGTGCACAAAAGGGATATGTAACGTGCGGCAAATCAACTATTATTTTTTAACTCTTATACAGATACAGAGGCCGGGGGGGGGGCCAATGGCATAAATGGAGAAAATGGAGAATTACTCATAGGTTTTTCCATTTTCTCCATAGAAATAGTCTCCATTTTATGCCATTTTATGCCATTTTATGCCATTGAAAACCTGAAAAATTTAGAATTTCGAGAAAAATTATTAAAAAAAAAGATATTTTCGGCCAATAATGAACAGGGTATCATGAAACATGGAGAAAAGTGGTTTTTAGAAAAATTTTGAAAAATTTTGAAAAGAGTTGACTTAGAAAATGTTCGGTCCGAGTCATTTTCGATACGTACCTCCCGTATCGAGAGCTCCCGATTCCAAGCTCGTGTTGCAAAGGGGAGGCCTGCCTTCCGAGATCGCATTACCTCGAGTCCAAAATTGTGTATCGAGGGGAAGGTGTGGACTTCGAAAAACCGAAAAAATATTTTCGGCAAATAATGAACAGGGTAGCATGAAACGTGGAGAAAAGCGGTTTTCAGAAAAACTTTGAAAAATTTTGACTTAGAAAATTACCCCTCGGTACACAATTTTGGACTCGACGCTTCCCACTGGTAATGCGATCTCGGAAGGCAGGCCTCCCCTTTGCAACACGAGCTCGGAATCGGGAGCTCTCGATACGAGAGGTACGTATCGAGAATGACTCGGGCCGAAAATTTTCTAAGTCAAAATTTTTCAAAGTTTTTCTAAAAACCACTTTTCTCCACGTTTCATGCTACCCTCTTCATTATTAGCCGAAAATATTTTTTTGGTTTTTCGGTTTATCGAAGTCTACACCTACCCCTCGATACACAAATTTGGACTCGAGGCTTCCCCCTGGTAATGCGATCTCGGAAGGTAGGCCTCCCCTTTGCAGTGCGAGCTCGTTTCGACTTTCGAGGATGTAGGTCTCACTTCTCAGTGCCTATTACCCTCCCTTATTACTCACTCCTGCTGTAGCCTGTAGAAATAAATTTACACTAGGCTTGAGTAATTATGAGTTTGCCTAAAGTGTGCCTCTACTTACCTAGTATAAGCATCTAGTAGCCTACTATGAGCTTTCATAAGCTTGTTACGCCCCTAGTAAGCGTAAATAAACATGTTAGGATGTCCAATTTAGGTGTTAAATGGTGTTAAAGATGAAATTTCGAAGACAAAATTCATGGCATAAAATGGAGAAAATGGAGAATTACTCATGGGTTTTTCCATTTTCTCCATAGAAAAAGTCTCCATTTTATGCCATTTTATGCCATTTTATGCCATTGGCCCCCCCCCCCCCCCCCCCCCCCCCCCCCCCGATACAGATAATCAATAATACAGCGATGTTATTTGTCTAAAATGCCTTATTTCAATGGGATCAATTTTGAATTTGAAGGCCAACTACTAAAAGTAAATGAAGTTTGAGGATATTGGTAAATAGTCGGAAGCTTTGTTCGATGAAATTTTAACAAGAATTGCGCCGTTTAGAATTAGCGGACGCTAGATTTTTATCGACAGTAGGCATTTCCTTTTAAAATTTTAAATAAAAATCGTTTCATGTTGGTCAAAATATCAATTAACTGTTCTTCTGTCTTCATTCACCATTCTTTGGGCGCTATACGGAGCACAAAATGTAAGGGAATTGCCATTGTCAGTTATTCAAATTTAAAAAGTTAAATGACCGAACACCGCGTTTGGCGTTATCCTGCGCCTGTGTACCGTAAAGAAAAGCTTGAATTTAAAACTACTTAACACATGTTTAAGATCCGGGAAATCGCTTGTTATTCAAATCAATTACCATAGAATTCAAATTCATTCGCTATAATTTCATATTCGCAAAGTAATCAATTTTTGTGGAATTAAACGACAAAATCACAAATCTGCGGACTTATCACTATCAAGCCTCAAGGTTGTGCGAAATTTAAAACCCAAAGCACAAAGACCAGAGCCTTACGATGTTTGACACGACTTTAACATTTAACACGAAACATTATGCCTATGTAAAACGGGAATGAATTTATAGAAATTAGAAATTAGAAATTAGAAATTAGAAATTAGAAATTAGAAATTAGAAATTAGAAATTAGAAATTAGAAATTAGAAATTAGAAATTAGAAATTAGAAATTAGAAATTAGAAATTAGAAATTAGAAATTAGAAATTAGAAATTAGAAATTAGAAATTAGAAATTAGAAATTAGAAATTAGAAATTAGAAATTAGAAATTAGAAATTAGAAATTAGAAATTAGAAATTAGAAATTAGAAATTAGAAATTAGAAAGATCATTACAATATTACATGTATCAGATCCCAATCAGTTAAATGAAAGTTATTCAACCAAACAATAAAAACATAATATCGTAAATAAATAAATAAATGGATTCAAAGTGTGCACGGAATAAGGATACTAAGTCATAGCTTACTTTTAGGAAATCTTTCACGAAATAGATTATAAACAAAATTTCTGGTCTCAAAATGTAATCCTCATTAAATAGTTTACTGAATTGACTATTTGTGAGCATGTTGTGAAGGTCTGTGATGTTTCTTTGTCTGATCTCCTTGTAGACAGGACATTCTTTAAGCAGATGGACTTCGTCTTCTTTAATGATGTCACTAAAAGGGAGCTCGTTCAGGAGGTCTATGGTGATTCTGTCTGAGCTGCAGCAAAAGTGGCAAGCTCTGTAGAAGATACTTGAATTTTTCCAGCCATATCTCCCCGTCTTTGTGGGAGCTTGTCCTCAGCCATGTGGTACATCGGGTTTTCTTGTGATTGGGTAGAGATAGGTATGGTTCTAATCCAAAGCTGCTTTTGACTTTGTTGTAGAATGCAAGCTTTTTGTTTTCAAGTCGAGCTTTTTCCCACTTTTGTTGGAACCAATCTCTCAGTCTACTCCGAACGAGTTGGCTGATCGGCATGGGAACATTCTTCGAGACAATTGTTCGTTTAATTGCTCCTGGGTCAAGTGCTTCGGTCAGCGCTCTCGGAATGTTCGGAACCAGGTCAGCTCTAGGTTTTTTTGCTCTACGAAAGCATGGCGATCAATCTGTGGTGAGTTTTTTCTATCAAGGAGGACGAGCCTGTTGTGGAAGTCAAGAAAGAGCTTACTCAGTTGTATTCCAAGGGGATATCTTCCTGTGTATCCCCATATCGGGATATTTGAAATTCTCTTGTTGACCCCAGTCGTCCATTTTAGCAGCGAGAGATGCAGGCGCTCGATGCTGTCATTCGCTAATTGACTGAGTGTGTCTTTGTCGGACTGTGTTTTCTTCTGACAGATGTTGCTGAGAATGTTGGTATAGGGGATCCACACCTGACTACCGTATGAGACGACAGGAAGTATAAGGGCATCGAAGAGTTTGAACACAGCCTCTTTAGAAATTGAGGAGAGATCAACCGTATTTTTCAGGGAGAAGTATGCTCGAAGTCCTTTGATCCTGAGCTGCTCTTGGTTAAGCTTCATACTGCCACATATTGTGAAATGAGTACCTAGGTAGCAGTAGCTTTTGACCGAAGGGATTACAATACTTCTGCCGTAGGTAAATGTTTTACTCTCGAGTAACTGCCTTCCTGAGGGATTGAAGATGATGACCGCAGTTTTCTTAATGTTAACAATCAATCCCCAGTTAGTGCAAAATGAGTGGAGTTGGTCAATCATTAGCTGCAGACTGTCCTTGTTAAGGGTAACCGTGGCGACGAAACCATAACTGGTCTGCACGCGGAGAAGATGCATTAAAATGGCTATGCGGAGGGTAATGCATGTTTTCCTTTGTGACCCTACGAAAAACCTACCTACCTACCCTACCCATCCTCAAATCCTACCAATTCTAACCATCTTATGACTTTTTAAGAAAAAAAAGTCGATGCACTCAACGTCTTACACTGTCCACCATCTGCCAGGGAGAACTGAAGTTAACATTAGTTGGATAGAACAGAGAGTTACGCCAGGTTACTACATTAGTAAAGGTTGGTAAACGTGTTATATCTATGCCATCAGTCGACCCTGCCGTTTTCATTTCAACTATAGTCTTTCTTTAGGGGGTGGTCGTTTTGTAATTGTTTGGACTAGGGGGTTGGCGAAACTACCAGTCCTTCGATCTGTATTTGGTACACTATCGACTTTCAAGCGAATCAATGTGCGAGTTTCAGGATTGGTTAGAGCATGATATCGTTCCAAATCGCCCTCTTGAAAGTCATTCAGGAAAAAGTGATCAGTACAAAATCTTGTACTTAGGCTAAGTTGCCATGATCGTGAATCTCTATTCATCCCCACAACCCATTTTGCTTTAAAGCTTGATCTTTGGGTAGTCTGACGTATTTTAGAAATCCTCTTCCACTGTGATCACTTACTTTATTTCGGCCACTACGATTTGAGCAACCACCCACAACACAAAATGATCCTCCTGGTTTCTGCTTCTTCGAAGGCGGTTGTTCAGCCATTCGCCCATTCAGCTAGGTACTTTATTTCTGTAACGTCGTTCGAGTATTGAAGAATTGGATGTGACTAAGAATACTAAAATAACTCGTGATATTATAACTTGTAACTAGTGATACGAGATGGCATAGTTAAATAACTAATCGTGTTAACAATAACAAACTACTAGTGCTCAGTATTACCGGTTAAAACGAATGTGTCATGATTGCGTGAACAGAGAAAAAACGCGGCATTGCAAATGTAAACAATGTAATAGTGAGGGTAGACACAGCGATAGTATGCTGCATCTACTCGAGCGACCCTAATTTTAGTGGCCAATTAGAGGGCGACACCCTCACTTGCGTGTCCCTAAATTTTGCGGAAGTTAATAATAATATATTCGCTTGACTATCAGATTGAGTTAAAAAACAAAAATGTTAACATTTTTTCCCTATCTCGGTGTACACCTTTAAATATCTTATTCTAATTGGATCAATACTGAATACAATCTGAAGGCCAAATATCAAAACTATGATACTTATAATAAATAAAATTGTACCATCGTCTGAAGATTCCTGTGCAGTGATGTTCCCCATAACCAACCAGAGAACGAATAAGATCATCACACTCATCCTTTTATTATGTTCATTCTATTAAAATGAACATTAAACATCATAGACATGAGGAAGCTGCAATCTTCTGAATTTCAGGTATTTTTCAAAGCAAAAACACCAAATTTGTGTATTACCCTGTCTAATTTAACGTTCGGTCGACGTGAAAAAATATTTGGGTTCTTTTTTGCTTCGAGGGGGTGGGAAAACAAAAAAGCTGTAGGGGGGAGGGGCAAAAAACTGGCCCAACAAAATTTGGGGGAGGGGTGGGGGCGGCAAAAATGTTTGCGGTGGGGCAGCACACGGGTACGTTTCGCCAATGGCAATGTACCCGACACGCCCCTGCTACCAACAATATGCCGATATGACCCGATATAATTCGGGCTCAAGATATGGGATATTTTATAACAAGTGTGGATCAAGAAGCTCCATTTTCGGCGTCTCTGCAAGAATATGATATTTAGTTTCATGAGACGTTCTAAGTAGTATACTGAATATTTTCTAAATGTCCTTGACCTTGCATAGCAATATTTTAGCTTACTCCGCACCATGGTTTTGAAATGAGTACCCAAGCATTAGAATCTGTATGTGGGGTGTCTTACAGCGGTCATGTGATAGAATCACCCAAGTCCCTGACAGTTTCTGATGGCTTTTACTAATTCGCTCGCCCAAAAATTTCACGTGACTTTGGTTTTTATGGTTTTGCAGCTGTACAAAACGGTTTTACATTAACCCTAATCCCATGACCCTAACCCTAACCCCGAAGCTATCAATAACCCTTACCACAACCCTAACCCTAACCCTTAACAATCGAATTCATGTTTTACTAGCCTGTCACGTGACCAAAACGGATTTTTGCCCATAACTCCCCAGGGAAGCATTTTCTGTTTTCACCCTACGTCATGGGGGGTAATTCGGAATCAGCGTCCAAAAATACACCGATTTTGATCAATCTCATATGTGGGTCAATTTCGAAAACTTTACTAAAGTACTAGCAAAACTGCGCGTTTTGCTCTAGATACACACTTTTTTAGAGATTTTACCGGCGTATCCTCTAAAATCATCTAAATCTAATTTTTTCAATCTTAGGGAGGGGCACCAAAAGGGGAGGGGGCGCCAACTGGGGGGCGCTTTTTCGGCGGAGGGACGCCAACAGGAAACGTTACGCCACTGTGGAGAACGGGTTGAAAAAGTCACGTGATAGTCGAGTGTAGAGTGATTAATCATAATCCATACCAAAACAGACTTTATTTTGTTTAAAATTACGTGGGGGCTGTACGGCTTAGCGCCCATATGCATAAGATAACAAAAATGTAACGATACAAAACGATTTGTAAAGTTACGTTACGATAAACAATTATTAACGTTAAAAGTATTAACTTGTCCAGAGATAACTTTAATTGTAAGGTAAGTAAGTAAGGGTTGGGCGGGGTTAGCAGTTAGAGTAGTTCGTTAAAAAAATCGGAGTCACGTGGAATTGTTTGTTGAGAGGGTTTTAGTAAGAGCATTATCAACACAAATGAATTACTATCAACAGAGTTACACTATAACTTATATTTATAAAACTTAGTAGGCGGCCTCATCAGATAAAGAATTTTGTGTGATGGAGTACCTCAATACCTAACAGTTTTGCATATTCAATCCTCTCTCTGAATAATAATTCGATTATTATCAAATTATTTACATCCGATTTGATTTGAAACTTTTACAAATAGTACATATACAGCAAAGAGAATTTAAAATAAACGACATTATAAGGTATTATGCTGTGTAAAAGTCTTAGACCTATGACCATATTGTAGAAATACTAAAAGCATGGGTGAGTACCTACTAAGTGGTACAAGTTCTGGGGGTATACGTATTACATTACACGTATCATCAATCCCGTCAGGATAGCATCTCGTGACTATGCATTCTCAGTGGCACTCACTAAAGATCTTGTGAGTTTCATCAACCAACAAGACCAGGATATTACCAAGCTGGATATGGGCAAGATCAAAGATGAAAGAAAAGAAAGAAGAACTGAGAAAACAGAACGATGAGTTTCTATCACAAAGGTTCAAGATGCTTTATAATGGGTCAGATCATCTTCTTAAGAACCACTTTAACCAAGCAAGAGAGAAGGGAGCATCAACAAGGCTTTCAGCATTACCTCTAAAGGACCTCAACTATGTTCTAAACAAGCAAGAGTTCCAAGACAGCATACGCCTACGCTATATGGATGGAAGATCCAAGGAGTGCCCTCTAAATGTGCTTGCGGACATGCGCTGCAAATGCAAAATGGTGTCTACCACTTCCTTGATTGTAAATTAGGTGGATACGTTTGCATGCGCCACAATGCCATTATAGACACTGCAGTTTTCTTCCTTCAAGAAGCAAAGTGTAAGGATGTAAGGATAGAACCTGCACTACCACCTGTCCAACCAACTTCATTCTCCAGGAAGACCAACACCCAGGATGAAGCCCGTCTGGATGTTGCAGCTGTTGGACTGTATGCACCATTCGAAAGAACATTCTTTGACATCAGGGTCACTCATCCTAATTGCGACACAAATACATTTAAGCCACTAAATAAAATCTACAGTGCGCATGAGAAAGCGAAGAAAGATCTATATGAGGAGAGAGTACTTCAGTCAGAGAAAGGGTCCTTTGTCCCACTAGTCTTTACAACATCCGGAGGTATGGGCCCACTCTGCACTGTGTTTGTAGATCGTATTTCTGAAAGGATAGCTGACCACAATAAAGAAGCTAAGAGCCAGGTCAAAAATCACATCAGAACACGATTCAGGTTTGATCTGCTACGAAGCACACTCATAGCACTCAGGGGAATCAGAGGAACCGAAGACAAAAAGCCCAGCACCTTGGACTGGATGACGTATCCTTTAATCTCATTCCTCAGAAGACGAGCTTTGAGGTCTCTTAAGTTTGTTTATGTAAATTTTATAGATAATTTAGTGTAGCTTTTATATTGTGTAAAATTGTACGGACGAAATGATCCCAGGGGGAGACTCCCAACCCACCGCCTCGGCGGGTAGTTGATACATCTTTGACAAGCAAGAGCCACTTTGGTCTACTCGCTATGAGGTGTCTTAGCTACATGGGTTGGGGGTACCCCTCTTTTTTTTCTTTTTTTTTCTTTTTTATTGATAGGACTATATATGAATGTCTTCAGGTGATAGAAGTAATGTGTCCATATTCTTCATTATGTTGTTATAAAATGGTCTATTGTATGTCAATGAGGTTTCATTGACATTCCGATGAAGGAAATAGTCAACATCATCTCTGCACGTTCCTCTCGGAAAATCTGCAAGTCCTATCGAGTAAAGAGGTGGACTTTTGTACACTTCCGTAGTTATTATTACCTTTTCTTTAGACAAGGGTTCTCGTGGGTCATTGGAGCCGAGGACGAGGTCAAGGATGAAAACTTGAATTAATATTCCTATTATTAAATGGCTCCTTCTTGTCATGACACTAATTTTCAAGGACTGCCAGAAAATTCGGTATGCACGAGTGCAGCTGTCCAACGTTCAAAGAAAGAGGAAGAAAACTCGACTGCCCTATATCTAAGATAGTTTATTAAATACAGAATAAATACACGAATCAACGCTCGCGTTCTTGAAGATATTATTTTTAAGAAACCACTCAGCAAAATAATATAATTTGATCAATAGCAATTATTCCATGTTTGATGCTGTATCGAAAAATAAATTTGTAAAACTAAGCACTAAGAATAAGATCCTGATCAGTAAGAGAGCGTTGATTTGTGAGAAAGCGCGATCCGCGAGCGTTGATTCGTGGATTAATAAACATTTATTCTGTATTTAATAAATTTTTATCGTGGTGTCTGCAGTTTCTGTTGCGGCTACTGCTGCAGCCTCGGGCATTGCATCATAGATTTTTAAAGAATTGATTGAGGCGATGAAAAAATGTCAAGGTATAGATAAGCGTGTTTAAGTACGCTCCCAACCGGGCAACATGTAGAGATACCGCATTTTTTCCAGCCATGCCGGTATCCAGTCTTCTCCTTTTATAGCAGAGAGGTGGAACCGTACCACAGTAGGACTCCACATCGCCGACATTGTAAACATTGTATTGCAATGTCAAATTTTAATTGAATATGTAAAGTTTTTTGTCGCACTTTAGGTCGTGTCGCACTACAGTACAGGTATCGTACTGTAGTGCGACAGTGTCGGCCTTGAAAATTCTCTGTCGCACTACGGTACGTGTTGCACTACGATCCAGGTAGCGTACTTTAGTGCGACAGTGTCGAACTTGAAGGTTTTGCACTAGGGTACGTGTCGCACTACAGTACGGAAACCAGGGGACCAGGGTGAGAAGACTCATAATATTAATAACAAGGTTGGAAATGGCTCGTCCGTATATAAAAGTTTGGCATTGAAATCAGATTTACCGTGGACGATCAGAGTATTATACCCATCAACGGATGGTACCCGTAATCTTACTGGGCGGCGCTCTATGCAATTATGAACATAAATATAATAGCCTGGGGTCCCCAGGTAACCCGTAATAAAAATGGTTAATATTTGTTTTAATTGTTCATGTTTCAGAAATTAGAACCGGCAACGAGACGCATCTCATTTTCAGCATGTTATAAACATTTAAGTGTAAGTTCATATGCTCTGTTATGTGTTGAGTTCAGCTTTTATGGTTAAGGTTATCTAGGCTAACTTCAAGCTTACTGGTCTCTTGCTCGCTTCTCAGCAAGAAAGACTAGCAAGCTAGGTAACTATAAACTTAAACCGTATTACTCCAAACTCTGACCATAAACAGTAAAATTTGCTGTTTGCGTTTAACTGGTATTTAACGTGTCCAAAATAGCAGTGTTTTTGTTAATCAACAATAACAAATAATGAAATAAACCATTATGGAAGCAATTTTTTATGTCATGGAGAGATTTGGAATGAGCCGACCTTATCACGTAAATGTGGCACTGTGGCACTTGTGGCACTATATCATGTGGCACTTGCTGCACT